TACATACCTGAACAGCCCGTGTAAAGCGGGCCTACAGTAGCCCGGAACTTAGCCTGTGTATAACAGGGCCCTACAGAGCCTGGAACTTAGCCCTGTATAAAAGGGGCCCACAGTAGCCCGGAAATTAGCTGCTTATAAGCGGGCCCCCGAGCCCCAAATTAGCCCCGCTATTTAAAACAGGGGCCCCACGTACCCGGAACTTTCCTGCTATATAGCAGGGCCCTACGTGCCCCAACTTTGCCGCTGATAAACAGTGACTAGTTTTAACATGTAAAGTTCATTCTTTGTAACTTGTTTTGCTTCAAAACTTTGGGGGCCCCGTCCCTGGACCCATTAGTACCTCTAATTTGAGGTACAGTCCCCAGAACCATTATGTACCTCAATATTGAGGTCAAAACCCTGGACCCTTTTTTTTACCTCTGTAATGTTGGTACAGTCCCGAACCCTTATGTACCTCTTAAGTTGAGGTACAGTCCCCCGAAAACCCCTTATTACCTCTGTAATTTGGAGACAGTCCCCGAACCCTTTTGTACGTTAAAGTTTAGGTACAGCCCTGAACCCATTATGTCCTGTGAATGTTAGGTAAGTCCCTGTACCCATTAGTACCTCTGTAATGTTGAGGTACAGTCCCTGTACCCTTATATCCTCTGTAAGTTGTGTACAGTCCCAAAACCCCCTTTTTACCCGTGAATTTTGGTCATCCCTGAACCCCTTAGTACCTGGTAAGTTGAGGTACAGCCCTGAAACCCTTTTTTACCCCTGTAAAAGTTGGGGGTACAGTCCCTGAACCCACTATGTACCTCTGTAATGTTGAGGTAGAGTCCCTGAACCCATTATGTACCTCTGTAATGTTGAGGTACAGCCCCTGGACCCATTATGTACCTCTAATATTTTGACTACCTCCCACAGGATGGGTTTGAGGTGCATAATAAAGATATTTAACTAACCTTAGAATATTATTGTACTTAGCTTACAGTCAATATATTGTGAACATATTGTAGGCTGCCTGAATAACTGAAGAATGGTAATAACTGAAGAATGGTAATAACTGAAGAATGGTAATAACTGAAGAATGGTAATAACTAAAGAATGGTAAAACTGAAGATTGGTAATAACTGAAGAATGGTAATAACTGAAGAATGGTAATAACTGAAGAATGGTAATAACTGAAGAATGGTAATAACTGAAGAATGGTAATAACTGAAGAATGGTAATAACTGAAGAATGGTAATAACTGAAGAATGGTAATAACTGAAGAATGGTAATAACTGAAGAATGGTAATAACTGAAGAATGGTAATAACAGAGAACCGCTGTATGAGCGAAATGGTGTGAAGTGCTCTCCCTGTAATATACTGTGTAATATACTGTGTAATATACTGTGTAATATACTGTGTAATATACTGTGTAATATACTGTGTAATGTACTGTGTAATATACTGTGTAATATACTGTGTAATATACTGTGTAATATACTGTGTAATATACTGTGTAATATACTGTGTAATAATACTGTGTAATATACTGTGTAATGTACTGTGTAATATACTGTGTAATATACTGTGTAATATACTGTGTAATATACTGTGTAATATACTGTGAATGTACTGTGTAATATACTGTGTAATATACTGTGTAATATACTGTGTAATATACTGTGTAATATACTGTGTAATATACTGTGTAATATACTGTGTAATGTACTGTGTAATATACTGTGTAATATACTGTGTAATGTACTGTGTAATGTACTGTGTAATATACTGTGTAATATACTGTGTAATATACTGTGTAATATACTGTGTAATGTACTGTGTAATGTACTGTGTAATATACTGTGTAATATACTGTGTAATGTACTGTGTAATGTACTGTGTAATATACTGTGTAATGTACTGTGTAATATACTGTGTAATATACTGTGTAATGTACTGTGTAATGTACTGTGTAATATACTGTGTAATGTACTGTGTAATATACTGTGTAATATACTGTGTAATGTACTGTGTAATGTACTGTGTAATATACTGTGTAATGTACTGTGTAATATACTGTGTAATATACTGTGTAATGTACTGTGTATGTACTGTGTAATATACTGTGTAATGTACTGTGTAATGTACTGTGTAATATACTGTGTAATGTACTGTGTAATATACTGTGTAATATACTGTGTAATGTACTGTGTAATGTACTGTGTAATGTACTGTGTAATATACTGTGTAATGTACTGTGTAATGTACTGTGTAATGTACTGTTGTAATATACTGTGTATGTACTGTGTAATGTACTGTGTAATATACTGTGTAATATACTGTGTAATGTACTGTGTAATGTACTGTGTAATATACTGTGTAATGTACTGTGTAATATACTGTGTAAATATACTGTGTAATGTACTGTGTAATGTACTGTGTAATATACTGTGTAATGTACTGTGTAATATACTGTGTAATATACTGTGTAATGTACTGTGTAATGTACTGTGTAATATACTGTGTAATGTACTGTGTAATGTACTGTGTAATATACTGTGTAATATACTGTGTAATATACTGTGTAATATACTGTGTAATATACTGTGTTAATATAACTGTGTAATATACTGTGAAATATACTGTGTAATATACTTTTGTAATATACTGTGTAATATACTGTGTAATATACTGTGTAATGTACTGTGTAATATACTGTGTAATATACTGTGTAATATACTGTGTAATATACTGTGTAATATACTGTGTAATGTACTGTGTAATATACTGTGTAATATACTGTGTAATATACTGTGTAATATACTGTGTAATATACTGTGTAATATACTGTGTAATATACTGTGTAATGTACTGTGTAATGTACTGTGTAATATACTGTGTAATGTACTGTGTAATGTAACTGTGTAATATACTGTGTAATATACTGTTTTAATATACTGTGTAATATACTGTGTAATGTACTGTGTAATGTACTGTGTAATATACTGTGTAATGTACTGTGTAATGTACTGTGTAATATACTGTGTAATGTACTGTGTAATGTACTGTGTAATATACTGTGTAATATACTGTGTAATGTACTGTGTAATGTACTGTGTAATATACTGTGTAATGTACTGTGTAATATACTGTGTAATATACTTTTGTAAATGTACTGTGTAATGTACTGTGTAATATACTGTGTAATGTACTGTGTAATATACTGTGTAATATACTGTGTAATGTACTGTGTAATGTACTGTGTAATATACTGTGTAATGTACTGTGTAATGTACTGTGTAATTACTGTGTAATGTACTGTGTAATATACTGTGTAATATACTGTGTAATGTACTGTGTAATGTACTGTGTAATGAAACTGTGTAATATACTGTGTAATGTACTGTGTAATGTACTGTGTAATGTACTGTGTAATATACTGTGTAATGTACTGTGTAATGTACTGTGTAATATACTGTGTAATATACTGTGTAATGTACTGTGTAATGTACTGTGTAATATACTGTGTAATGTACTGTGTAATATACTGTGTAATATACTGTGTAATGTACTGTGTAATGTACTGTGTAATATACTGTGTAATGTACTGTGTAATATACTGTGTAATATACTGTTGTAATGTACTGTGTAAGGGTACTGTGTAAATATACTGTGTAATGTACTGTGTAATGTACTGTGTAATATACTGTGTAATGTACTGTGTAATATACTGTGTAATATACTGTGTAATGAAACTGTGTAATGTACTGTGTAATATACTGTGTAATGTACTGTGTAAAGTACTGTGTAATATAACTGTGTAATATACTGTGTTAATATACTGTGTAATATACTGTGTAATGTACTGTGTAATATACTGTGTAATGTACTGTGTAATGTACTGTGTAATATACTGTGTAATATACTGTGTAATATACTGTGTAATATACTGTGTAATGTACTGTGAAAATGTACTGTGTAATATACTGTGTAATATACTGTGTAATATACTGTGTAATGTACTGTGTAATATACTGTGTAATATACTGTGTAATATACTGTGTAATATACTGTGTAATATACTGTGTAATATACTGTGTAATATACTGTGTAATATACTGTGTAATATACTGTGTAATATACTGTGTAATATACTGTGTATATACTGTGTAATGTACTGTGTAATATACTGTGTAATGTACTGTGTAATATACTGTGTAATATACTGTGTAATATACTGTGTAATATACTGTGTAATGTACTGTGTAATATACTGTGTAATGTACTGTGTAATATACTGTGTAATATACTGTGTAATATACTGTGTAATATACTGTGTAATATACTGTGTAATGTACTGTGTAATATACTGTGTAATATACTGTGTAATATACTGTGTAATATACTGTATAATATACTGTGTAATATACTGTGTAATATACTGTGTAATATACTGTGTAATATACTGTGTAATATACTGTGTAATATACTGTGTAATATACTGTGTAATATACTGTGTAATTATACTGTGTAATATACTGTGTAATAATACTGTGTAATATACTGTGTAATATACTGTGTATATACTGTGTAATATACTGTGTAATATACTGTGTAATATACTGTGTAATATACTGTGTAATATACTGTGTAATATACTGTGTAATATACTGTGTAATATACTGTGTAAGATACTGTGTAAGATACTGTGTAATATACTGTGTAATATACTGTGTAATATACTGTGTAATATACTGTGTAATATACTGTGTAATATACTGTGTAATATACTGTGTAATATACTGTGTAATATAAATAGTTAAAACCAACAAAGTGAAAAATGAGACTACTTCAGCCCAGTCAGTGACTACTTCAGCCCAGTCAGTGACTACTTCAGCCCAGTCAGTGACTACTTCAGCCCAGTCAGTGACTACTTCAGCCTAGTCAGTAACTACTTCACTCAAACACATAAATTTTAACACACCGAGCTGTTACATTATTATTGTACGTGTCTTCATTATAGGGT